TGAGTCTTGTTTTGTTGGTCTAGAGTTCTTTATTGTATGTTTTTGTTTTTTTTTTTTTGCGGAACCGGGGATTGAACTCAGGCCCTTGTGCTTGCCAGGGAAGCGCTTATTCTACTGAGCCATCTCCCCAGCCCTAAGTTCTTTATTCTAGGTAATTTTCTGTCTGAGGAGGGGCTGGAATTTTTTTTTTTTTCCTTTCTATAGATTATCTAGTCATTCTTTTGGTTGTTTCCTTTGCTGTGCAGAAGCTTTTTAATTTGCTATAATCCTGTTTGTTGATTCTTGGTATTGTATCTTGTATAACTTGGTTTTTATTCAAAAAGTCCTTACCTTATGCCACACTTCAAGAGTTTTACCTGTTTTATTTTTCAGCAGGTTGTTTCTGTTTCAACATTTAGATCTTTGAACCATTTTTTTTTCTTTGAACCATTGTGATTTTAGTTTAGAACATATTTAGAGACAATAGATTTAGGTTCAATCTTCTGCATATGGAGAGCTAATTTTCCCGGCATCATTTGTTATAGAGGCTATCTTTCCTTTAGCATGCTTTTAGCCCCTTTTTGTGATTTTTGGAATGTGCCTGGAGTTTCTGCATCCTCTAGTATGTGTCATTGATCTCTGTCTGCTTTCATGTCAGTCACTTGTATTACTGTACTTCTATAATATAATTTGAGTCTGGAATTGTGATACCTACTGGTTTGATCTTATCTCGCATTACTGGGTATCTTAATTTAAATGAATCATTTATTTCAGACTAAGGGCAATAGTCCGCTGCATGGCATAAAGTGGCTAAGAGTGATCTTGGATGAAGGACATGCCATAAGAAATCCAAATGCCCAGCAGACAAAAGCTGTATTTAATTTGGAAGCAGAAAGAAGATGGGTATTGACAGGTAGGTAATCTTAACATTAAAGTTTATTTGCCTTTGACACTTCTAAAGTTATTTTTAAAATTAGACATAAATACCATACATATTTATGAGGTATCATGTGATATTTTCGCAAGTGTACTTATGTAACATTGAAAACAGGGTAAGCATGTTTATAGCTGGAGCCAATTTTTCTTTGTGATAAAAACACAATCTTCTAGATTTTTTGAAATGTTCAGTGCATTATTATTGTAGTCATCCTACTGTGTAATAGGAAACTAGAATATATTTCTTCTAATTAACTGTTGACTAATTGACTGATTATATAATCTGACCATATCCTTTTCTCTGTCTCTTCTCCCCAGGCTCTAGTAGCCACCAATTGGCTCTCATTTTCTTATAGGATCAACTTTTTTATATTTCATACTGCTTTCCATAGTTCTTTCTACAGTTATTTATTTATTTTTGTGTGATTTAGTACAGGGTCCACAGGGTTTCACTACACAGATCAGACTCCTAGTGATCCTCCTATTTTCAGCCTCCAAGTGCTGGGATTATAGGCGGGTGCCACAACACCCAGTCTCAGTTGCCAGCTCAGTGTGCCCCAGGGGTGGCACAGCCTGCCTGGGATGGAACACAGGTCCCTACGTCTGCCTAAGCAGGTGCTTTAGTTTGCTGAGCTATCTGGCTGGCCCTTGCTTTCCATAGTTCTTTTTTTTTTTTAAATTAATTAATTAATTAATTTATTTATTTATTGTGTGTGTGTGGGGCCAGCTCAGCCCACCAGGGGGCGGGGCTGGCTGGCATGTGGTGCTGGGGGATTGAACCGTGGTTCTGTGCCCTGCTAAGCTTGTTCTAAGTAGATGCTTTAGACCACTGAGCCATCTCACCAGCCCTTTCCATAGTTCTTGATGACTATTAATTTGTATTCCCCATCACTGATCCCCACATCCTGAATAGCTATTTTAACTGGAATGAAATGATACTTCATTGTTGTTTTGATTTACATGTTTCTGATCATTAGTAATAGCATTTTCCACTTTGTATCTGTTGGCTATTTGTATGTCTTCTTTTGAGAAATAGCTACTTAAGTCTGTTTTTCAATTTTTACATGAGATTATTCAGTGTTGCTTTTTTTTTTTAACTATTGAGTTTTGTTCCTTAAATATTCTGGATGTTAATATACCTGTCAGATACTGGTATATAGTTGGCAAGAAATTTTTCCTATTTTATAGGATGTCTCTTCACTTTATTGATTTTTTTCCGTTTGGTTATGTGAAGGTTTTAGCTTGATATAATCCCATTTGTCTGCTTTTGTTTTCCAAAGAACCCGTGTCCTAAACCATTTTATCTAGTTTTATTATACTAGTTTTATTTCTTTTTTTTTTT